ATTAGAGACCGGGGGTGGGGGGCTTCTCTAAGGACTTCTTTTCACTTTCCTTCCCCAGGAGGGGGAGGCGAAAGCAAACCGCCCCCCCCGGGCAGCCCCGGGTCCACCTCGCTCCCCCCTCCCGCCAAATCAACGAAGGGGGTTTGACTCACGGGGCGCATGCCCAGGTGGTAGGTGTTGCCCAAGCACAGGCGGCACCCCAGGGCGTCCAGCTGGGCGGCGGTGAGGCCCTTCATGGTCCCTTGCGTGCCCACGGGCATGAAGACCGGGCAGCTGACGGGGCCGTGCGGCAGCCGCAACTCGGACGCGCGCGCTCGGCTCTGCCGGCATTCCGCCAACACTCGGAAAGACAGCATCCCTCCCGCCGCCGCCGCATCCATCGGACCCCCGCTGCCTCCGGCCTCACGTGGCGGGGCGGGGCGAAGTCGGAGCTGCCGCTCCGTCGCCTCTTTCTCGTTGGTGGCGGCGTGTTAGGGTTTAGTGGTAGACGCTCTACGGCGCTTGCGCGGCCATAGAGATAGAAAAGTGGTAGACGCTCTATGGCGCTTGTGCGGCCATAGAGATAGAAAAGTGGTAGACGCTCTACAGAGCTAGGAATTTGGGACGCCCGGGCGCCGAGGCAGCGAAGTAGAGTGGGAAGTTCCCATGAAGCCGCCGCCGCCAGGAAAGGGAGAGGGTTTTCGGGTTGTGTCCCTAGCCTAGCACGAGGGGCAACGAGGGCTGGTTTTTTGGGTGGGGAGCCTGAATGGGAAGAGAGAGGGGGGGCCCTGCGTTGTGTGGAGCTGCGCTGGGTCGCCTCCGGTTTTAAGCTGGATCCCGCCTTCTCGGTCTGGATCCTGGAGATGGTTTTGCCTTTCAGGATCCGGGGCGGGTTGGCCGCAAACGGGTTTCTTTCCTTCCTGCAATTGGAAAGTCCACGGACTTTGGTCAGGAAAGGAGTGGCCGCCGAGGAGCAGTTTCCTTTCTTCTGATCGCTTCCCGACCTCGAGGCTTCCGATGTGGCCTGAAAAGCTTCCTTGGGTGTTGCAGAAATGAGCCTTATGAGTTCGAAGGATCTTGGGTTTTACCGAGCACCCACGGAACCCGGATTAAGTGGCTGAAGGTGGAAGGCAGTGAAAGTTGGCCGACTTGAACTTAGAAAAGTACAGAAAAAGTGGCTGAAGGGGAAAAGAAGTAATGTAAAATATCAAAAAATATATTTAAACGCCTGTACAGTACAGAAAAACAAAGATACGATCCCTTTATTGACTGCCCCCATGGTGAGAGCAAAATGAAGGTCGTGCTGACTTTTCCCACGGATTCCAACCATCCTGCAGCTTCCTAGTTGAGGGGGAAATGCTTTTTCATGCACGGACCCGGCCACGTTGGTAGGGAGCAAGCAGGCTCACGCTTTGGTAATAACTCAGAGTTGGGGTTCTCCATTCCTTCTTTACTGTAAACGTTAAGGATATTTGCTAGTCTGCAAAAACACAAAACAAATACAAAACCACCCTGGTCTCCTTGATCTTATAGATCTTAGAATCAACCCAATATAAATGAGGACTGGGGTAGGTAGATGAATGGACTTGTTTGTAAAAAAAAGTCTCATTTCCATTTTTAAAAAAAAATACAAATTAGCTTTAAAAACTGAAGTCAACTGATATGCATGTCAGACTTATAGAATGTTAGTACAGTGAAAGACCTGGGCAGTATGACATCATCATAATACAGATGAAAGCTGTTGCACTGTTCTCAATGGGCCAAATGTTATTGGACAAAGTTACTAAATATTATTGGATAAAGTTAGTGCCGAAAGCTAACTAATATCTGAGGATAGGTTGAAAACTTAATACTTTAGATACTGTGGTTACCAGAGACAGAATGTTACTTGTACTATGCACCTTCACTTTACATAATTAAATATTAGATTATAAACAGCCAAGGATAGTATGTGAAACTGTACAGCATAATTACATGCAGATTGTGGATGCTAAGGAAAATGTCTTTACTGTACTTTTGAAGTATATTTTGACTTTTCATTATTAAGCAAAAAAAGAATTGTCATTCTAAAATCAAACACTTGAAAAGACTACTTTGCAGTCTTACTGCAAGCTAGAAAACAGCCCTTGAAATTACAGCAGTTAGTCCATGGAAGGCAACACTATATATTAATATTTTAGAATATGTTGCCTTCTGAGTAAGGCGGGAGACAAAGTTTAGTACGTAAGCTAAATAGAGTGCTTCAGCTCCATTTCCGCCTTTATGGTGCAGAAATCCTGATTACCATAAAATGGCAATTTCATTATGTATTTACGCAG